CCCCAAAAGCCCCCCCCCCTGTTGGCCCCCCCCCCCAAGCACCAAGAAGACAGAGCATCCCTTGCCCCAGACTGAGAGTCCCTATCCATACCTTGTGGACAAGAGCCACTGATGGACCTCTGCTCCATATGCTTATTTAATTCCCTCTTGCAGTCTGGTCCATGCTTATAGCCACCACCACCTCTTGTGGCAGGGAATTATTTATTTTTATTTATTTATTTATATTTACATTTGTATCCCGCCCTACCCCGAAGGCTCAAAACAATAACATACAGTTTAAAACCAATAAATTACAATAAATTCCACGTGTTCATCACTCTTTGGGTGAAGAAGGACTTCCTTTTCTCTCTTCTAACCCGACCGCTCAGCAATCTCATGGAGCGCCCACGCGTTCTTATTTATTTATTTATTTTTATTTTATTTTATTGTTAACATTTTTACCCCGCCCTCCCCGCGAGCGGGCTCAGGGCGGCTTACAAGGGGGCACAAGCCCATACATAAAAACCGGATAAAACAGTAAAGCCATTAAATAACAACAAAAACAAGACTAAAGTGCTCCATACAAACAAGAGGGTCGCCAAAGATGGTGTCAGTCCTTTCATTGGGGTGACCTTGTCCTGTCGATGGTCCAAGGCCAGTCCAGCGGTATCGGTGCCCTGCAAGATGGTGGCAGTTCTTCCGGGGACCACCCCTAACCCCGTTGTTATCTCCACCATTGATAGTGGTGGTAGTGATAGTGTTCTTGTATATTGTGAGAACGGGAGAAAAGGACCTCTTCCTCTACCTGCTCTATCCCATGCATACTCTTATGAACCTCGATCACGTCACCCCCTCAGCCGCCGTTTCTCCTGGCTCAAGAGCCCCGAGCGCCTGAACCGTCCTTCTTTGGATCCCTTGTGGAACTCTCTGCAGCAGCTCCTCGTCCCCGGAACGTGGCCCTCCCTCCCTCCCTCCCTCCCTCCCTCTTTTGTGCCATCAGCCGAACTTTCTTGTCGCCAATGGCAGGGTGTCCTGGGGGAACTGGGCAGGGGTGGTGTGTGTGTGTGGGTGTGTGTCAGTTTTCCATCTTTGCGCTAGAATTCCCACCACCACCCCCGTTTGGGTGTTTAAATTGGCTAAGGCGGGGCGGAGGGGGCGGTCACGACGGGGCTGTGAGTCGTCACTGATGGGTGCTGAGCGATCCTGAGGGTGTGTTCCTGCCCAGGCCTATCAGAAACGCCTGGCTGGATCTGACCAGGGGCCCCCTACCTGGGTGTCCTTTGCCGGAATCCCAGGGGGTGGCACAGGTGAAAGTACCTCCTGCCCCCCTCTATCCCAGCCGGCCCGGGAAACGTGTCCGTCCTCTGCCCCCCAAAGCCTCCCACCCCCCAAGGTCTTGGCCCCGCCCCCATTTCTCCCCTCTCTCCCCCCCCTCAGGTGTACA